TTTATTTTGTTCATAAACATTATTTTGACTAAATGTTGCCCTCTCTCGGGCTCTCAAACTTTCCTCAGCTTTCCTTGGTTAATATAACACATGGGTCTATAATGCCAATTATCTAATTTTATGTAAAAATCTCAGCAATATGTTTTTCATTTTCTAATGCATTTCATACATGTATTTAGAAGGATTGGAGGTATCTGTTATTAACCAAATGTCTGATTTAAGGAAGACCACAGAATCACAGAATTCTTCTGTACCTAAGTCTCCTGAGTCTCTGATTTTCAAGTCTTTTGATTTCCAAGACAGAAGAACAGTAAGTGTTATCATAGAGACACTGTCCTACTTAAATCCCTATGGATTAGTCAACATCAGGGTCCTCCCTGTCCATAATCAAGGTGACTAAATGACATGACCCAGGGGCTCCACACAAGCCCATTTATTCAAATTAAAACTCCCTCTCTTTCTCATTTATCCTAGACAGCATTTTACTATTAAATTCACTTCTTAGAGAAAAGAAATTATTTACAAAGGTAGTTTGTTAAACATCATGTGTATTTACTAAATACATTGGGATATCATGCAAAACCTCTGGAATAAATCCCAACTGAATCTGAATCCTAGCTCTTCCTTGTGCAAACTATGTGATCATCAGCATGTACTCAACCTCTCGGAGTAATTGAGAGGACCCCAGGAGGCAGCACAGGTGACAGCCAGGGATGCCGCTGCACTGTGCCTGGCATCCCATGCATTGTCATTCCTGTTGCCATCCCACCTGCCAGTGGCATAGGGGCAGTGGGTATCTGAAACCTAAAGAAGAGAAGGCCAGGAGCAAAAGTTAACGATGGGCTCCCCTCCTCCCCTGCTCATCCTGCTGCCCAGTGTTTCCTCCATGGCAGACCTGGCTTGTTCACCCAGCAGACTCCACCAATCCCCTCCTTTCATCTCAGGGGTTGGTTCAAGACTGACTTAGTATAGGCTGTCATCTTTAACCTGGACAATGGGCACAGCCTCCTCAATTGCTCCCTATCTCCACTCTGGCTGTTCTCAATTCATTCTTCACAGAGTAACCTTTCCAAAATGCATATCTGACCACATTACTCTTCCACTTAAAATTCATTATCATCTCAGAATCAAGTTCATCACCAGGATTTTCACAGTACGGATCTTGTTATCCATCATATTCTCTCCCCTCCATCCCCTCGGTAAACGATACTCAGTCTCATGAAGCTTATTTCCAGGCCCCCAACACAGCAGGCTCTCTCTTGCCCATTTCTTCTGAGCTCCAGCTCATCTCCTGGCTATTGCTTATCCAGTCTCAGATTTCTAAACATCACTTCCTCCAGAAGAAGCCTTCTCTGACCCCTCCAGGTCTTGCCTGGCTGCAGCCCCATGGGCTTCCCGTCCAGCATTTACCCCAGGGGCAGCAGTTGCTTCCTTTCTATCCCTACCCACCAGACTGTTTGCCCACGGAAGGCAAGTGCGTGTCTGCTGCTTTACCCCAGCACAGCGTGAGGCACATGAATGTGCTCAGATAAATGACCAATAAATGAGCGAATGAAGCTGTTTTCCAAAGTCGTCATTTTATGCCTCACAATGAAATCTTCTGTGGGGAAAGAACTCCATGGTCTTTTACTATGAAATGATGTTAATGTGTACCATTTGGGTACCTTCTGTGGCTGCCTTCTGCTCTCATGCCAAGACCATTGACCCTTGTGAGGCTTTTACCTTAAAGGCTTACCCTTGGGGAACTAGAGTGCCTCAGATGTCTGGCGCACAGAGCAAACTATAGAAAAGCAGAAAGAGTCCTTGATTCTGGAGCACACAGGAAATGCTAACAACGCCCAAGTTAATCCTCATGTACTCACATACACAATAATGAGTACACTGAAAAAATACATCATTTTTCCTCCAAAACGGGGGTTCTGTGATCCCAGGTGGATGGGAGGCAGGGTGATATAATGAATGAAAGCATGTGCTTTTGAGTTAAAAGTGTCCTGGGTTTAAGTTCCAATTATGCCTTTTAGTCAGCCTTTTAGTTATTTGTGACAATAATGTACAAAACTCAGAGAATTAAATAGGAGCCTTCTTTGTGGCCAAGTGAAAGGGGTTGGGACTATTTCATCTGGAGAAGAGCCAACCAGAAAGGTATGAACAATTCTATTTACTTTCCTTTATTTTTATTACACAACTAGTACATGTCCATAGTAAAAAAAAAAAAAAAATTGCAATGTAATACAAGCTGAAATAAACTGAAATTACAGTTTATCACCAACCAGACATATCTAAAATTTTGCATATATGTTTTTTTCTTGAAATATATACAAATATTTTTAAACAAAATGAGTGCATTTATAATGCTGTTTTGTACCTTGCTGTTTTCTTATTTCTGCATCATGATCACCTTTCTTTGTCTACTAATAACATCAATGTCGTCATTTGACTGGCTACAGAGTATCCAATTATATAAACATTATGAAATTTGTTTAACCAATTTCCCACAGCAGCTATTATTTAAGTTGTAAGAAAGGCCGGGCGCGGTGACTCACGCCTGGAATCCCAGCACTTTGGGAGGCCGAGGCCGGCGGATCACGAGGTCAAGAGATGAAGACCATCCTGGCCAACATGATGAAACCTCATCTCTACTAAAAATACAAAAAATTAGCTGGGTGTGGTGGCGCCTGCCTGTAGTCCCAGCTACTCGGGAGGCTGAGGCAGGAGGATTGCTTGAACCCAGGAGGCGGAGGTTGCAGTGAGCACAGGTAGCGCCACTGCACTCCAGCCTGGCACCTAGTGATGGAGTGAGACTCTTGTCTCAAATAATAAAGAAAGAAAGAAAGAAAGAAAGAAAGAAAGAAAGAAAGAAAGACAGACCGTGTGCCCTGGGTTCAACCAGATTGGACCAGTTCTCATTCCACCTGGGAAAGATCCTATGTTCTCTGGGTCTCATCTTTATCATCTTTAAAATAAGAATTGCACCCTCCAGTTCTTAAGGCTAGTATGTGGGTCAAGTGAAATGATGCATGTAAATAGATCAAATGAACTGATGCAGGCACTGATTTGTGTTTTGTAAACAGTACTGTGTGAATGTTTACATTCATTAAAGAAGGTACTAAACAGGTGTTTTCCACTGAGTCAAAACAAGAAGAAGTTTAATTAACATACTATTGATCAAGTTGTGATGATTCTGGCCTGCAGTAGGCTAGGAATGGAACAGCAAATGCTTCAATGTAGTTTAGCCGTTCTGGCTGTTTTCAGTCCCCAATGGGAGAAACCATAATACAGCCCTGGCATAAACTCTGTCCACTTTCCTCCTGAGGATGTGGTGTCCAGAGAAGGTAAGTGCCACATCTATGGGGCTCCTAAAAGCTAGAGTGAGCCACCTCCTGGCTCCAAATCCAATCCCATTGATCTTCACTATGCCCACAGTGTGTGAATGGCCAGCCATTAAATGCCCAACTTGTGTTTAATCTTAAAGAGTTTGAAAAAGGGCTGGGCATGGGGGCTCATGCCTGTAATCCCAGCATTTTGGGAGGCCGAGGCAGATGAATCACCTGAGGTCAGGAGATCGAGACCAGCCTGGCCAACATGGAGTAACCCCATCTCTACTAAAAATGCAAAAAATTAGCTGGGCATGATGGCACATGCTTGTAATCCCAGTTACTCAGGAGTCTGAGGCAGGAGAATCACTTGAACCCAGGAGGTGGAGGTTTCGGTGAGCTGAGATTGTGCCATTGCACTCCAGCCTAGGCAACAAGAGCAAAACTCTGTCTCAAAGAAAAAAAAAAAAAAAAAGAGTTTGCAAAAGAAAAGAAGCCTGGTTGCCTTGGCAGATTCTATCTGATACGGGCATGATTTAGACACATTTAGAGCATACTACAGTCTTAACTTCTCTAACTTGTAACCACCAAAACACTGGAATCAAATCCACCTCTTTAAAACATTAGTAAATTGAAACTCAAGTAGATTCTCATCTCAACAGTTTATGTGGCTGAGGTAGATGACAGAAATTTCTAGAAGTCTTATGTTTCCCACAAATCATTGTGTAATTTGCACTATTTATGTCGTGTTGAGAGGGAAATTTGGTTGGCTTGCCTAAAATTATACCTCCCTTTCTCCTGATACATATTACTCTCAGGTATATGTCAGAGACAGAAAAATATTTTGAATGACCTAGGTCATCTGTTTTTATGCTGACCACTCATTAGACCCACCTGAGAAGTTTCTGGAAAACAAGACAAAATACTGCAGATGACTGGCTGATCTCCAAAAGTGAAGCTTCAGTTATTCTAGGGGTAATTTTCTAATCTCCTCAGAGTCTGGTGATTCTGGCTAAATACGCAGCCAGAGTTGAGAAACACTGATTAGGGTCCCAGTGGGGGTAAGGAACAGATTATACACTCATGATCTCACACATTCTTTCACTCTCATTGTCACTCTGAGCAAATCCATTGAAATATATGTCCTCAAATTTAACTTCTACCCCTAAAACAAGACACTGAATGAAAAAATACATTTTATATAATGAAAGGACCCAAATTACAAAAAATAGGGAAAATGTATATAGCCAAAAATGGAGGAAGTATAGTAAAGTTCCTCAATGCAATATTATGCCACAGCTTTAATTTATAATTACAAAGAATTCACAGCAACATGGAAAAATCATAGACTGAAATAGAGGAAATGAATATAAACTTGCCCGTAGCACAGGGATGTAACTATGAAAATTAAAGTTACATGTGTGTACACACACACAAAGGGAAACTCCCCAAAATATCAATAGAGGTAGAGAATTTTGGAATTTATCTTGGTGGAGAATTTTGCTTCCTTCAACATTTTTGTACTTCTACAGTATTTTTTAAACTGCCATGTAAATGATAGGAAAATAACATTTATAGTAGAGCAAAACAAATTTACTTTTCAAAAATTACTCCTCTGATTATTAAGTGATCATCAAGTCCTGATTCTCAACAATGAATTAAAAAAACAAAGATTAAAATGCCCACCTGAAGTTCTCTGTGTTTCAGCCGCCCTGGCTTCTGCTGCCTCTATCTCTCCTGCCTTTCTCCTCCACGTAGTTAGGCTTGCTCATTTCAAAGAAAAGTAAAACAGCAAAGTATATTTATGAATGGTGCCAACCAATCGCAAGTAAGTCAGGAAGTACAGCAGGTCATCTGTGCTTTTTAGAAGCCAGTGTAGATCTCAGCGAAAGCTCCCTTCTCAAGAAGGGGGAGGATTTCATTAGGGGCTATGTCTAAAAAGAAGAAACTTAAAATTGCCCTGCCCCTGTAATGACTGGTTTTTATCATTATCTTTCACAAGAGATCAAGCAGATATGATGGGTTAGAGTCAGTGGTTTTCAGTAGCTTTTAGTTCTCCTAAATGGTTTCTGTTTCCGTGGCAACAGTAATAGCAACATTGCCTCACACATACAGCACTCTAGACAGCACTTCCCGCACTCACTTGCATTTTCAACTCACTTGCATTCAGGCAGAGACCTTATCCACTGCTGAAAATCTTCTGTCAGAGGTCACCAATAACCTCCTCCTCGTTGTTCACATAAAAGATCCTTTCTCAGTCCTCACCTTCCTTCCCCTCTTGTTTGCATAGTTGACCATTGCCACTTTCCTGAAACTTTTTCCTCCTTGTTCTTTTTCTACCCCTCAGGTTGCTCTTCTTCGCATCTCTTTCTGATGCCTCCTCTTCCATCCCTTTTCTACATGTGAGCTTTCCCCAGAGGTCTTTGTTCTGACTTCTTCCCTCCTTCTTCTCTTGCTTTTATCTATCTGATCCACAATCATGGCCAAATTTAGTGTGGCCCAGACAGAGCTTTTCTCTTCACCCTCAGTCCTGCATCTCCCCATCTACCCGGACTAAGCAAATGGTACCACAATAATTTAGCTAGTTAATCTGTCCATAAACTTAGAAGTCTCTTTTAACTTCTCTTTCTTCCACCACCCACCTGTGAGCCAACAAGTTGCATTTGTTCTGCCCATAAAATATGAACCTAATCCAACCATTATGCACCTCCCCATCACTGTTCAAATCCTCATTTATTGGGTAGAAAGCTTCAATAATATTAGGCAAGAAAAACAACGCAGGGTGTGGTGGCTCACGCCTTTAATCCCAGCACTTTGGGAGGCCAAGACCGGCAGATCACAATGTCACGAGATTGATACCATACTAGCCAAAATGGTGAAACATCATCTCTGCTAAAAATACAAAAATTAGCTGGGCATGGTGGCATGCACCTGTAGTCCCAGCTATTTGGGAGTCTGAGGCAGGAGAATCACTTGAACTCGGGAAGCAGAGGTTGCTATGAGCCAAGATTGCACTATTGCACTCCAGCCTGGTGACAGAGCAAGACTCTGTCTCACTAAAATAAAATGAAATAATAAATTAAAGAGCTCCAAATTAGAAATAAGTAAAATTAGCCGGGCGCGGTGGCTCAAGCCTGTAATCCCAGCACTTTGGGAGGCCGAGGCGGGTGGATCACGAGGTCAAGAGATCGAGACCATCCTGGTCAACATGGTGAAACCCCGTCTCTACTAAAAATACAAAAAAAAATTAGCTGGGCATGGTGGCACATGCCTGTAATCCCAGCTACTCAGGAGGCTGAGGCAGGAGAATCGCCTGAACCCAGGAGGCGGAGGTTGCGGTGAGCCGAGATCGCGCCATCGCACTCCAGCCTGGGTAACAAGAAACTCCGTCTCAAAAAAAAAAAAAAAGAAAAGAAATAAGTAAAATTATCTCTGTTTGCAAATGATAAAATCTTATACGTAGAGAAACCTATAGATTCCATATATGCACACAAAAAAAACCCAATAGAACTAATAAGCAAATTGAGCAAAGTTGCAGGATAGAAAATCAATACATAAAAATGAGTTGCATTTATATCACTAATAATAAACAATCCAAAAAAGGAAAGTAAGGAAACTATTGCATTTACAATAGCATCAAAACGAATAGCATATTTTGGATATATGCTAATTAGTAGAATTAGTGGATCTTGTTGAGATTTCTGCACTCTCAGGTTTATTGTAGCACTATTCACAACAGCCAAGATATGGGATCATCCTAAATGTTCATCAACAGAAAGATGGATGAAAAATGTGTCATATATTCCTGATTGAATACTATTTATTGATTTAAAAATAACTAAATTCTGTCATCTGTGGCAACATGGATGAGCTTGGAAGACATTATGTCAAGTGAAGTAAGCCAGGCACAGAAAGATAAATACTGCATGTTCTCACTCATAAATGGAAGATAAAATAGTTGACCTTACAGAAGTAGAGAGTAGAATAGTGGTTACTAGAGGCTGGGAAGGGGAGGAGGCAGGGAGAGATAACCAGAGGTTGATTAATGGACACAAAAATTGATCAATGGACATCTAGATAAGAGGAATAATTTCTAGTGTTCTACAGCACTGTAGGGTGACTGTAATAAACAACAATATATTGTATATTTTCAAATAGCTAGATAAGCAAATTGTGAATATTTTCAAAAATAAATGCCAAATGTTTAAGGTAGTGAATATGCTAAATACCCTAATTATATATTGTATACCTATATCAAAATATCACACTGTACCCCATAAATGTACAATTATTACTGGCCAATTAAAAATTATAATTTTTTAATTTAAAAATTTAAAAAATCTTTAAAGAATAAACTTAGAAATTTGCCTAAGAAAGTGAAAGACTTGTATGCTGAAAAGCACAAAACATTGCTGAAAGAAATTAAAGATATACAAACAAAACAAAACAAAGAATACATGAATAAATAGAGAGACAGGCTATATTCATGGATTGGAAGACTTAATATCACTAATACTCCCCCAAACTGCTCTTTAACCAATAAAATATTCTTTAGCTTGCTTCCGCATTCACCCCATAAAAGGCTTCCACTTGACTCCTTTGGTACTACCCAATTAATAAATTGCTGTCTGCTCCAATAAAGTCTTTAAAATCTTGGTGTGCTGCAGTTTATATTTTAGCAGAGGGAAATGGAAAGTTGTTGTTTAAAGGAAACTGTTTTGTAAGATTAAATAAGTTCTGGAGATGGATGTTGGTGATGGTTGTAAAATAATGTAAATGTATTTCATGCCACTGAACTGTACACTTTAAAAAGCAGTTAAAATGATAAAATTTAGGTCATATATATTTTACCCCAATTTTTAGAGATAAATAGTTTTCAAAAATTCACTAAAAGTCTTAAGAAAAAGAGGGCCAGGCATAGCCTGTAATCCCAGCACTTTGGGAGGCTGAGGTGGTTGGATCACCTGAGGTCAGGAGTTTGAGAACAGGCTGACCAAGATGGTAAAACCTCATCTCTACTAAAAATACAAAATTAGCTGGGCAAGGTGGCAGATGCCTGTAATCACAGCTACTTGGGAGGCTGAGGCAGGAGAATTGCTAGACCCGGGAGGCAGAGGTCGCAGTGAGCCGAGATCGTGCTACTGCATTTTAGCCTGGGGGACAGAGTGACTATCTCAAAAAAAAAAGAAAGAAAAGAAAAGAAAAAGGAAAAAGAATGCTACAGTAACACCCTAATTGTTTTCCTGTTTCTACTCTCACCGCTCTGCTGCGCTACAGTGATGCTTTTAAAGAGTAAGTCATATCATTCATTCCCTTGATTTAAAACTCTACAGTGACTTCCCAAAATTCTCAAAATAAAAATCTCTTTTCCTTAAAGAGTAATAAATAACTTTTAGAAACTTTGATGAGTTAATCAGATAAACAAATGGATAGTATTCATGGCAGGTAAAAAAGAGCATACACATTATTCAAAATAAAAATCTTTACCATGATCTGCAAAAGCCCAACCTGATCGGCCCCTCTTGTGTATGTATACCACTTTTTCCCTAGCCACATGGCCTTCCCTGCTGCTGGTCCAAATCCCTGTGCTGAGATGCCATTGCCCTGTCTTCCTCACTCCACTTAACTCTCTACTTAAGGGCCACTACATCCCACAAGACTTCACTGGCCTCCCTTTCTAAAATAATTATCCATACATATACTCCTCCTAACTCTGCTGTAGTCTGTTTTGTAGAGCTTATCACTAGCACTACTCATTTTTCTGAGATTGAGTCCCGTTCTGTTGCCCAGGCTGGAGTACAGTGGCACAATCTCAGCTCACGGCAACCTCCACCTCCCAGGTTCCAGCAATTCTCCTGCCTCAGCCTTCTGAGCAGCTGGGACTACAGGCACCCACCACCACACCCAGCTAAACTTGGTATTTTTAGTAGAAACAGGGTTTCACCATATTGGCCAGGCTGGTCTCAAACTCCTGACCTTGTAATCCACCCACCTCACCCTTCCAAAGTGCTAGGATTACAGGCCTGAGCCACTGTGCCTGGCCCACCGTCACTACTTTTTTATAACATTAAATATTCATTTCTAAATTGTTAGATCCCCATACTATATATTTGTACTCACTTCTCAGACTCCTTTGTGTTTGAGGTCTGGGGTGGAATGTGGCCACCTCAGAAGAGCTGGCAAAGCCTGCAGCTGTCCTTGTCCTCTTCCCACTCCCAACTCCCTCCCATGTATGAGCTCCACACTTTGGCATGGGGAATTCTAGCCCTCATGTCCTTGTTCCCAGTGCCTGAAAGCAGCTGCTTTTGGCCACCTGTAGGACACAGGGCTACACAAACTGTATGCTCTGATGCAAGTAGGGGAAAGCTCGTAGCATTTGAGGACACTTGGCTGGGGAATTCCCAAGTATCCAGAGCACAGTACAGACAAGGAAGTGTCCCTTAGCCCCACAGACTCCCAGCCCCCTCAGGTCAAGAAAGGGGTTGGATGAGGATCAGGGAGGACTCTAATCTGTGTCTGGTCCTCATTCAGCCCTCTCCTGTCCCAAGGGGCTGGTTCTCTCTGGTCAAAGAATGGCACCAGGACAGTGTGTTCTTAGGCCCACGTCTAGGAGTAGTTTGGTCTTCATGATCCAACCCTAGATTCCCTTTCAGGTTCTATTCTGATTGGTTGCCTTCCCACTTTCTTCCCATGCTCCAGTCAAACTGAACTATTTGCTTATCTCTAAAAATAAAAAGCACTATTTTAGGGCCTGAGAGCAGCACAAAATGGTAAATAAGGGGACTGGCTGTATTGGAAAGAAATTAGCAAATGCTTTCCTGAAAATAAACAAGGCAGGCTTGGTTTTTTTTGCTTGTTTGTGGTTTGTTCACTGGAACTGGAACCGACCTAAACAAACCGGGAGTCCAGTCCCTTCATGAGACCCATGAAGAAACAGAAGCACAGACTTGTTGAGCAGCATGGTCATGGTACACAGCTAGTCAG